CGCGCTGGTGCTCATTCAGTAAAGATTAAAATTTAACACAGACTGTCAGGACTGTCAGGACGGACCTTTATGCAAAAATGGAAATGCTCGCGTGAATTTGTGACATTTATACATAAAGATATGACGGTTAACTGAAAGTTTTTTTGCGCTGAGGACGCATACGCATCTGTTAAAGCGCCTGACAGGGCAAGCCATTACGCTAATGCATTAGCTTAAAGCTTAAAATAAAGAATTCTCATGTTTTGGGCAGCTTGGATCACGTAACTCTCCTGCAGCATCTCATTCTGTTTCCTCCACTATTTTAGATGCATTTTGTCCATAGAAATAAGTAATTCAGTACTTTAATTTGACGCGACCGGCTGAAGTTGAACAAGTATGTAAACTCCGTTGGATGTGCACTGTGGGCAGACCCGATTAATCGATAATGAGAATCGTTGTCGATGGTTTTCATAATCGATTTTATCGATTAGTTGTTGCAGCCCTAGTCTGAGGATTTCGATATAAGCCAAGAGGAGACTGGTTTTCCTTTGCTAAAGTAAGGCAACTTTGCTTCCTTTGCTCCTAAACAAAATCGCAAGACTAGCATATCTCAGAGGCGCACGCACTGCACATACGTGCTGCGTCATCCGCCGGAACTGCTTCAGTGTATGACAGATAACGGAAGTGAGAGAAAAGTGTTTATTACGTTTGAAATATTGATATTTTTATTATAAAAACGCATGGATTAACTACAGAAGGCCTTTATTCAGAACTAACCCTTTAAGCTGCAAATCAGCATTTTAGAATGATTTCTGAAGGATCATGTGACACTGAAGACTGAAGAGTCCACTGAAGAGTAATGATGGTGATAATTCAGCTTTACCATCACAAAGAGAAATTACATTTTAAATTTATTCAAATCCAATCAAATCAGTTATTTGGAAATATTTCACATTACAGTATGTACTGTATGTTTGACCAAATAAATGCAGCCTTGGTGAGCATAAGAGACTTCTTTCAAAAACACTCAGAAATCTTATCAGCAGCAAACCTTTGAATGGTAGTGTACTTCATTCAGGAAGAGAATCAATCATGACTATTTGACCTCATTTTTTGGTTAATGATTTTTTTTTCCCATTAATGGCTAACAAAGTCTTAAATATTGCTGCTGCTGTTTTGGGAGGCACTAACTGAAACCACAATTCACATCAGTAATATGTAGTTGTGAATTCCACTAGTATACTGGCGAATTTGAGTTAAACCCTCACTAGTGAATGCACACTTGAATTTATGATGTTTAACAAGGTGGAGGATTTTAAGAGAACTGCTGGAATTCTTTATAGATGAACTTGCCAAGACCTGTATGTAAACAAACCATTACTTTTGCAACAATGCAATAGTCCAGTGCTGCAAGTGGTTTAGAAATCACACACCTTAGAATACAATCACACACAAAAACTTCATTTAATGTTTATATCACAGAATAAAAGTCTATTGTGAAAATAACCATATAAACATTAGACGGAGCCGAAGGAAGCTGAGGCCTTGAATACAGATTCGTGGAGGTTTGAGGTATTACATCAATAAAGTTTTCATGCTATGCAAACCACTGTTCAGTCAAAGGATCTTTTAGCGCACAATCCTGAAGATCAGAGGAGGTTTGTCACACAGGGCTCATGCCACACAGCATGCTCTTAGAGGAAGACTACTATACTTACACGCTGAAGAACGCAGCACTGCACAGCCACACGGGAGACAAGTCATGTGTTAGTGCAGCGGACGGCTGATCTGAGACCTGCTTTACTCGAGAATACTGGCCTTATGCTTTGTGTAGTAAAGTCAGATCAGCAGTGCATAAATTGCGCTTCTTATCAAGATTCATAACATCTGATGTCTAGTGTTCTTGCTTTGAACAGGCAGGATTTGCTCTCTCACACCTACACCCGTGAATGTGTCATATTCCTGCAGCTGTTTTAGACGTTTTGAGTTGTGTGAGTATTTATGACGTACATTATTAAACCACTGGAGACATACAGTATGTAAGTTGTTGGCCAAGGTGACATGATGCTGACATCTCTCTAACAACAAGATGCTTTCAGACAAAAATGCAAACAAGAGACAAAATTCATACAAACAGTGAAGGTAAATATAACTATGAGGAAGATGATACGATTAAACACTTAACATTAAGGTGGCCTATGAAAAGACAGAAAGAGGACAGATACTTACTGTAGCCCATTCCCTGGACAAAGTACTTGAAAGCCTCAGCGAGTTTACCCGGCTGAAAATAGAAAACATCCACATTTAATACAAGTCAAAACTACATCAAACTGATGCTGTGGCAGACATAATGGTGTTGTCTTTTATTCTTACTTGGACAACTTGGGGAAGTCCACCACAATCTGCCATCTGAACAGAGGAGGAGAGGACAAGAATTAATCCATTCTGTCATACTGGAAATACAATAATTAAAAATCTCATCAGGCGTGAAAAAAGGTCACAAAGATATGACAGCAGGGGAAGAAAATTATTAAAATATCAGCTTTAAAATTTGGATTTACAGATTATTTTAGCATGATGAGGATATAGGGGAAAACTAGCTAGACTCTATACAGTAACAGTAAAAAAAAGTAATCTCTCTCAACTTGATCTCAGGCACATTCATACTGTTGTTTTTATGGAACTCATTCAATATGACTACACAATAATAATAGTATTTATAAATTTTATTATTAAAAGTAAACACACCAATAAATATTACTATAGTTATAATTTTACAGTACTATATTACAATATTCACTGAGACAAATCTGTTGTCATTTGTTGACCGATTTATAAACAATTCTCATTACAAATTTGGAAAACAGTTGTGCATTGCGTTTGCAAATGTACATTATAAGTGACCCAAACTCTCAGCGCTTTCAGAACTGAGCCGCTCTGTGATACTGAAAACACTGGATCATGAGCTGCTTGTGTGTAAAAGAACACAGTGCCACACTTCAAGCACTGACACTTATTTCCTTTTTTGACTCAAAAACTCAACTCAAACTCATCTGATCTACACAAATCATTCAGACTATATTTTGGAACCATTTTTGCAGAAAGATGACAAATTTGCATTCCTGAATCAAAACATTGTTTTAGGGAGGGGAAAAAGTCACATGCCTTGAGTAAAGTAGTCTTGGTTGGATTTAGCCTTGAGTTGCATTCAACCTGTGGAAAAATGAATAAATTCCCACATGGTCAGTTCAGAAACATAATGAAAGGTATAGAGAGATAAATTGACCAACTCTGCACTAAACCAAACTGTTTGCATTGCAGATTAATTGAAGACCCAGCATTAGTGGCTCAGTCTCACTTTAAAATAGCCACCCTTAGGCAAACTCAGTAGTGTACTAAGTGTACATAAGCTGTTACTGTATCAAGGATTTTAGAACGGATGGAACTGCTGTTTTGGCCAATCAGGATCCAAGACCAGAAGCAAGCATTTTAATTGACTTTCTACAATGTATGGACATATAGTTGCCATAGGCAATACGTTATTCAGGAGTGCTTTACAACAAGCACGAGTGCATAAGACTTTATGATGCACAGCCCCTTTTAGGATGTGATGTCATTGGTACAATCTGAACAGAACATGTACGAAGAGATAATGAGCATAATGGGTCTTTTAGAAAGCACACTGTGTTCTCTCTCATTGCCCATAGATGCAGTGGCAATGTTCTTGATTAGTCACTCACCACGGCCTCTACCGCTGGTGATGTGTCACCAACGATTAACAAGGCAGGACACCTAAACAGCAAGAGAAGAAAGACAAAGGTCTAAGGAAGAGGAGGCAGCATGATTTACAAAAATATACAAAAACAGACAACCAAACAACCTACTTCAGTGTTTTGACCGTATTTTCATAAAGTCCCAGGACAGGCCTCTCAATCTCCAGATCTCGCCGACTGTGATAAGGAAACGAAACCCTTATAAAGATCAGCTCATATGACAATGATCAGTACATGAACTGAGAATGTCACCTGTTGTAGGAGTGGCAGAAGAGAGCCAGGTTGTCTTGATTGATGTCCTGAGCGATGTGCAGACGATATGTTTGAATGATCTCCTGGTTCTCCGTCAGCTCGTCCTGAGGAACAAAAACTCAGCTCATCAACAGAATCCAAGAGAAATCTTTTTGTTCGGAGTGAATTATCTCACAGATGTGGAGGTGAGTGTCATATTTAAGGCCTACCGTGCTGAAATGGTGTGCCATCACAATATCTACCAGACTGCTGGTCCATCCAGATAACTACAACAGAAACACACATTCACATTTTTAGTGAAAAGCACAATGTTTGAAGATCAAACAAACTGCGTTCCCGGCACCTCCACTGACTTGAGCACTTTTCATTATTGTAGCATTCTGACCTGTAAGGTTATTATGAGCTTTACAACAAGGGAAACTTTAAGAAGATCAACTACACTAATCTGTTGAGAAATCTGAAGTATGGAGGAATGGTTAGGGTTTGCTTTTGGCTAATAATGAAAGGACAGGATAATCATCATTATGCATAATAGTGTATAAAGAAAAGAAAAGATAAAATAAAATTAATGGCATGCGTTGTTGATTAAACTAAAATGCAAATGCAACTAAAATGGTATCAAAAAAAAAAAAAAGTGCCTATTACAAAAAGTTGCTTTAGCATATTTGTTTGTCACTGACCTACAGTCCACACTGTCAGAAAATAATATGCAAAAGAGGTACAACAGCTTGTTCCAGGGGCAGTACGTGCATCATATTTTTATTGTCATTTAATTATTTAATAATGATCTGCACTAAATAAACATGCTAATTTGACAGTGCATTCATAATTTTACCTTAGAGGCAGCCCAGTCAATCCAGCCCTTAGCACAGGGGTCCACATTGATGAGAACCAACCCCTCCACCAGAGCAGGCTCATTCAGCTAAGAGAATGACATCACATGGATTAGTCCATCATTACAGCTCATACTGACTTTAACACAGAGCACCTACTGACTGAGAGGATTAGGTGCTTGACATGTAGCCGATCGAACAGACTAATGAGACTGATTCTTGACTTCTTGTGGTATTGCTACCTATAGACTTGTCAGGGGTCATGTGACAGTCAAACACATTGTGATTTGCCCGGGAGCACAAAATAATATCAGAAAACTTGATTTAAAAAAAAAAATTTCAATAGTCAACATGAAATCAAAACTGATACTATTTACCTCCTGAATACTCATTCCCAGTCATGTATTGCATATTATTCTAAAGGTTAAAATTATTTGTCTTCAAATTTTGTCATCAAACTGGTATAAATACTTCTGCATCTGCAACATCTTTCCTTTTTGGTGGACATGCTTGTTACTGGTTAACGTTTAATTATGCTAATAGGCAAATAGCTGTTTAAAGGGATAGTTCACCCAAAAATGAAAACTGTCACCCTCATGCTGTTCCAACATATGAATGTATGAAAGAATGAAATAAAATATGTATCAATGAATGAATTTGCACAGAAGAGAGTCATACAGTTTTGGAACGAATGAAGGTCAATATATGAAGGCAGAATATTTATTTTAGGTGAACTATTCCTTTAGGCATCATTATAAACTATTGTATATATTGAAGCATTTATAAAATCTTGCCAATGTTCAACAGTAACTTAATACATATTACAGGAATGGGATTTGGGTAGTTGGCTGACTGAAAAACTCTCATTTGAGTCTCCATTCTAACATGGAGTGCCACTTTACAAGGTCCAGTTCGTGACAGACAAAATCAACTTCTGGCCTATATTTTTGTCTTGTTGAATATTCTGTTTTATCACTGAAATGTGTCGATTACAGATGGCTTGAAATTGCTTTACAGGTTTGAGAAGTCAACTTTAACCTCAGTGGTGACAAAGCAAAAACGTCAACCTATGTGACCCAACCAGGTATTGACATCAACACCTTAACCGAATTCTCAGTATGTCAATGTCCAGAGTGCTAACTTACTGCAAGGGCTCACACTTGGTTTTAATGAAGAACTGCAGCTATAGGCAGCCATGTGAACAAATCAAATGTCTTGTTACCATGACCGTGATGGAAAAAAGTTCAGGTTTCACACCTCTTCTTTTTCCTCTCTGCATAAGGCTCTGCACAAGACATGCAGAGAAACGCAAGCCTTCGAGGCAGCACTATCACATGACCACACGTCTACGGACAAACATGTGACAACCAAAGTGTAATTCAAATGATTTTAAGTAGTTTACAGTGCTGAAGTTGTTCTGCAGAGCTGCGTAGGTGTGTGTTTGTTCAAATCGGCCGTCATCACAGAACCCGATGAGCAAGTGGCAGAAATATGATGAACGTGCAATGCAAGCCGTTGGAAGGGTGAAAGTGTGAGGTGCTGGACTGAAGTAATGGAGTCAGTAGTGAAAGACAGCCATGGAAAGCCACATTCTTTAGTTAATTTGAGAAAAATACCCTTTATCACTTTATACCTTGATAATAACCAGCAGGAAACATGAGAGTGAGTGTGTTTTTATCCTCAGCATTCATGTTTGTGCGTAGATGGTGAATAAGAGCTTTGTGTAGGGTGAGAGTGTGAATGCATGTGTGAACTATCAACCTCAGATGAGGTGTGGGGGATTTATTGAAGACTGAGGACAGATGGTTTTACTGCAGACGGACTTCAATGATCTTCACCTCTGATGACCTGAACTTCACTCAGATGCTCAATTAAACATCTAATGGCTCGTTTCCACAAGCTACTCCATCTAACGGTTAGATATTACAACATACAATGACTGATCGGTCATTATAGCAAAATAAAAGGGAAGATATTTTACTTACAGCCAGCCTAGTGAGGATATAAGCTCCTGCGCCCACACCGATACCAATCACACTGTTGATTCTGTTAATTAAAGCACAATTATTCATATTGCTATTGCTTATTAACCGGCATACATTCTGAGAAGAAATGCGCAAATTATTTGAGGCTTTAATAGATGCCATCATGATTTCTTGAACATATGGCATTTATTTTTATTTAATTGTACTGAATTAGGGATCATGTTATGACGTTAACTTCAGTACAGACTGATTGAGGTTTGGACTCACTTTAGCTGGGTCAGAACTGAGGGCAGCATCTCGGCAAGCTCATCCATGGTTGGGTACTGGTACCTGAGGGAAAGAAAAGGAAGACAAAAGTGACAAATTAGTCTATCTTAAATTATTTTAATTATTATAAGTAAGTGTGAAAACACTGTATCAGCAGTGGTGGAATAGATGGTGCCTCAGTGAACTGCTTAACATGCTGTCTATGATTACAGAACAGTTAATGTTAGAACTGGTTAATCCTGCTGCTACTAATGCTTTTCTCCTTTTGAAAGTCGTGAAAGCACTATAGTGGAGCTTTTCTTTTGCTATTTAAGCAAATGGGAACTCAAAAAAAAAAAAAAGACCGTCTCCCATTCACTGCTATAGACGCTTACCCAACTATGACGATTTACGCTTCTGAGAAATGTGGAAGAAGGTCCATTATGGTTACATTCACAGCAGTTTTGGACATTAATGTCAATTTGAACATTAAGAATATAGTAATGATAATCAAAAATGCTGTCTATGTTGGCACCTCACTAGACTTTGAGACACAGCCAGAGTTATTTCTTCAGTAGTTAGTTTTACCCGGTGGGGAAAGGAGGGGCAGATTCTTGCTGGCCTGGAGCATCAACATGGACCACAGCAAAGTGCTGGGTGATCTCCTGCATGTCCTCGAAGTTAAACAGTGTGTTGAAACATGACTTATCTGCATCGCAAGAGAAAAACAAGACACTTCTCAAACACGTTTTTCATAAATCATCATCAAAGAGAAAAATGGTACCCTGCATACCTGAATCATATGCATACTTTGCACACATACACAAAAAACAAAACAAAAAGAAAACACCACTACTATGCCTGGTCTCTATTACTGTGACCTGTTTATGTAAAATTGTACCGTCTAATGCTGTTTGCACTGTTCACTCAGTATTCACACATGCACTTTATGTAGTCTTGCACATAAATGTTCAAGCCTATTTTAGTTCTTATTTTTAGTTCCTTCCGTTTTCGCTTTTATTTAACACTTTTGTTTAGTCTATTTAATATAATTTAATTCATGTACGGTTTCGTTTTGTAGTCCCTTGTTGTCTTTTGTAGCACAATGGTCGTGGAGGAACGCAGTTTCGTTTCGCTGTGTACAAGCTGTATAGAGTTGAAATGATAATAAAGCCAATCTGACTCTAGATAAAAATCCAAAATTAACTCAAAAAAATGAACAGATCCCGCACTTGGGTTCAACACAACTTTCTGTCCACATATTTTTTAACTACTGTTTTCTCTAGACCTGATTAACCACCATCTGTGCCCTGCAAATCAGTTTTCTGGCTGGAAGTTGAAGAAAGAAAGACTCTTTGAGAGATTTTGATGAAAATGTGCAGTGTTGATGTGCAACTGAAATCTCATAGGTCAAGTAACACATTTGATGAGGAATGAACTTGGCTAACTGTTATGGCATATATAGTATGAATGTGTGTTATATTAATGTAATCCAGATGTACTACATCAGTCGTATTGTCATTGTCATGTGACCTACAACGTCAATTGCATCACCTTACGGTCATTCAATGGCCATCAACTCCTCTACCGTGTCTATTGAAAGCACACTTCAGAATCTCGGCAACAGAAGAACTGTTGGTTATCCAGGGGAGTTTTTCGTCTGTTATATAGTAGGGAATAGTGGTCGACCGATATATCCAAGGCTATATATCGGCCGATATTTGGCATATTCCAAATATCGGGACCGGCTGATAAATTTTTCTGTTTGCCCGATGTGTTCGAAGCAGGACTTTTATTTTGATGGCACTGAGAACAGCAGTGCCTGAGCAAACAGCGCTCACATTCTCCCTCTTTGCTGTTTGCTGTCGCCGTTTAACAGTTCTGTCTGATTCGGATAGAAGTCCGTCTAATAATCAGACAGAACTGTTAAACAAAGGAATTAAAAGGTGTACAATAAAGTATTATAACGATTGCTTTTATATTATTAGTAATAGAAAGGCAAACATTATAATACTTTCTTGTGTACCGTCAGCATTCAGCAAATATGCATTTATATAATTTAAACAAATCTTTGAATGTCTAAAACATTTAAATTTCACAAACCTCGCAGACTTAGTTGAATCCAGCTGTGAGATCTTGTGAAGTGTGCATTTGTATCCTGCATGATCACGTGTGCTCCGCGTGACGGTCAGTCCGTGCGAATTGAATGCGGACAGGAGGAGAGTTCAGCTTCACTGAAGATGCGCGATCGACAAACTTTAAACTCACGATGCTGCACTTTATTCATTTGCCCACTGTCATATTCATGTCATTTTCACTGTGTGCTATATGTAAAATGAGTGTTACCTAGACTTTATTTGAAAAATATGAGTGCTCTGTTGATTACAGTGTTTACTTCCTTTTTATTTATATATTTTTAAAAATATTTCTTTATTTGTGAAAAATACTAAGATAAATAATAGGATTACAAAACCAAGAAGTTGTCATCTAAATTATAAGTATGTTTATTACACTTTTAAAAATTAATTTTCAAATTATTTAAAATGTCTTACATATTAATTAAAATAAAATAAAAAATATATATACACACACACATACACACATATATATATATATATATATATATATAT